AAAGCTACCTGGTTAGTCAACACTAGAGGATCTGCCAACTGAGCTGGTTCTGCCCAATCAAACCTCTTACGTACTGTAGAAGGGGATAAAGTCCCTGTAGTGCATGTAAAAAATATGCTGGGGAAGACAGTCTGGGTTACTCCTGACTTGGAGAAAGACAAACCCATCCGCGGGATTGCTTTTGCTCAAGGGCCTGGCTCCACTTGGTGGGTGATGCCGAAGGACAGGGAAGTCCAATGTGTACCTCAAAGGGATTTGATTTTGGGTGAAAACAGCCAATGAACTGGATTGTATGATGTTAATGCTGGGTAATAGAGTATGTCATCATTTCTACTACTGCTGTATGTCCTATCAATGGTATAACAGTAAGAATCGCCCAGATTAATGAAGAATGAATTCTGAAGAAACTGAGGACGTGCAGTGGATGGAACCAGCACTGACTTCAGCATGCAAGAACGCAACACCACACGGCACCTCTCCTGCTCTGAAAGACTGTTACAACAGATGGAGCCTAAAACCATGGACTAGATGAACCCAATGGACATTTTAGAGGGATGGTCCGTAGACTAAGAGAATGATATCTGTGTTTATATATCAAAATATTGGGAAAGTGGTGGTGATTAATTGCAATGTATTGACAAGGGTAGGACCTAAGCATGACGTAAATGGTATAGAATAAGGGGTGGATAATGTCCTGGTTTCGGCTGGGATAGAGTTAATTTTCTTCATAGTAGCTAGCATAGTGCTGTGTTTTGGATTTAGTAGTACAAGAATGTTGATAACACACTGATGTTTTCAGCTGTTGCCAAGTAGTGCTCAGACTACTCAAGGACTTTTTGAGCTTCTCCTGCTTGCCCAGGTGCATAACAAGCTGGGAGTACAGCACAGCTAGCACAGCTAACCCAAACTGACCAAAGAGCTATTCCATACCATATAACGTCATGCGTGGGGGGGGGCGGTTAGTTCGGTCGGTCGGTCGCGGGGAGACTGCTCGGGGCTCGGGGACTGCTCGCGGCTCGGGGCAATTGCGTTGTGCATCATTCGTTTTGTATATTCTGTATATTCTCTTACCATTCTCATTATTACTATTCTTATTCTTTTCTCTTATTAAACCGTCTCTATCTCAGCCCACAGCTCTTACCTTTTTTTTCCTTCCCGATTCTCTCCCCCATCCCACTGGGCGGGGGGAGTGAGCGAGCGGCTGCATGGTGCTTAGTTGCCAGCTGGGTTACACCACAACAATGGGGGGTCCCAGGGCTAGCTACTGGGATAAACGGTATCGCAGTGCCAGCTACTGGGGGATCCAAGAGCCAGGTATTGGAGTGAATTGGGGATCCCAGTGCCAGGTACTGGAGTTAATGTGGGTCCCAGGGATAGCTACCGGGGTGAGTGGGGTCTTACTGTAGGTTCTGCAGCAGACGGGAGTCTTGGCCAACAGGCATTGGGGTTGGACCAGTTTGTGTGTGGGAAATAGCAGCCGCTGGGAAGGAGTGGTGTGAGTGAGGGGCTCAGTGCCCATGCCTGGAGCGGGAACATGGGTGTCAGGCCATATGCCTGGTCTTGCCGGGGGGGGCAAACGTCTGTGCCTTCCCCACCACCAAACGTCAAGCTGGAGCAGGCAGCGAGGAGGGGTCCTTAGGGGCAGGCTGGGGTGACAAGGGGGGACGCAGGAAGCGTGAGGTGCCCGTGGGATGAGGGTGTGTGTGCTGGGGCTTGGCAGCAAGCCTTGTGCTGGCCCACTGGACCCGTGGGGTTGTCAGGTGGGCTGGGATCTGGGCACGGGAGGGCACGCTTGTGTGGGGGGAAATGGGGATTGGGTGTCTGGATGGGAGAGCGGGGGGGTCGAGGGGTTGGGGGGGCCCAAAGGAAATTTGGGCGGAGGGAGATGGCAACCAATGACCCCCTGACTGCCAACTCCATACACCCACCGTCTGCAAAGAGGCCCGGGCAGAGTAGGCATGTGGTTGAGCACGGGAGGTGGGGAAGGTGCCCGTACGGAAGGGCCAAAGCCACAAACCAGAGCTGTGGGGAAAACTTGAAGGCAGCCACACCCCCTGTTGCCTAGAGCAATGCTGGAACCTGGGCACTGATCTCTCCCTCGCTCTTTTGACTTTTGTGTCATTAGGCAATAACACAAGGCAGAGCCCCCTGGGCGCGTGGTGACTGAGAAGCGTTTCTGCTACGGAAGAGCCTGGTTCTGGAATAAAAGTAATTGTCTCCCTACAGACCTGGTCCTTTGTGCCCCCTTCTCCAGCCACAGGGAATTGGAGGATCCCCTCAGGGTTGAAAGGTTTTTGAGGATGCCGGCTCCTTACTCCCAGGGGAGCTGGGAAGGGATCCCAACTCTCTACCCGGGTGCAGGCAGGGAGAGTAGGGCAGGGAGCTGTCAGCGGAGCAGCCGGGAGAAGTTCCAGCAATGGCAAAGCCATGTCTGGACTGGAAAAGCAAGGGCTCAGCTGCTGCCCCCACGGTGTTAAGGGATCTGAAGCAGAAGCACCTTAATCCACACCCATCGGACAGGCAAACCTGCACCCCCTCACCCTCCTTGCGTGCCAGGAGGGGACATTTTAATTGGCCTCGATACCAGCCATAGATTACGGGCATTGCAGTAACCCCAACGTTTTCCTCGATTCCCTAAAATCCCACGGGAAAGGCTTCCGAGGCAGTAAGGGAGCCTTGGGTGTTGTTTCAGCTTCATCTGCCCCAGGGGGATTTCTAGAGCCTGGTGGGGCCCAGCTCATTGTCCCCTGGGTAGTCCAAGGAGGGGGTGGTGACAGGGGGGCCATGTTGGGACTGCAGGGATGGGGTGGTGAGGGACCCTCTTGGTGGATCCAAGAGGGAAGGAGGAAGTACAGCACAGCCCGTGCACCTGGAACAGATTTAACTTTCGCCACTGCAAGCCTGTGCTGGTGCTGGAGTGGCGTTGATAACACAGACAGGGTCTGGCTGCTGCTGAAGGGGTCTTGAAAAAACCCAGGGCCGCCTCTTCTTTACCCCTTGGCCCCAACAGAGAGCAGGCTGGGGGTGGACAACAGCTCCAGAGGAAGGGGGGGTGCTGAGGCTTTGCTTTTGTGACGCTTGCTTTTCCTTCTTGGTCCTTCACTGTTTAAAACCTCTTTCTCCCACCACACCCAAAGTTTCCTGCCCGGCTGCTGGCCAGGGGCCATGTCCGTGGGTGGGATTTCCTCCTACCTTCCTGTTCCAGACTTTCACTTTCGCTCTAGGACTCACCCTGGTTTCCGGGAATAGAAGGGCAAGGCCGGCCAAGAGCGCAGCATAAAAGCGGGCGCAGGTCCCCGGCTGCAGCAAAGCTGTTGCAGCCCAGGGCAGCTGATGAAGACAACGGTGAGTCCCTTCCCCTAACGCCCCCTCCCCACCCCTGCAAGCAGCCCTGGGCACTGGGGCTGCAGAATGACTCCTGCTGACCCCAGCAAGCCAGAGGGAGCCCAGCAAGCACCAGGGAGCCCAGCGGCTGGCAGGAGGAGGAGGAGGAGGAGGAGGAGGCCCAAAGGTCTGCAGGGGCTGTGGGATGGCACAAAGGGGAAGGGGTGCCTGGGAGCCTGCGTTCGCTGGCAGGAGGAAGAGGAGGAGGAGGAGGAGGCCCAAAGGTCTGCAGGGGCTGTGGGATGGCACAAAGGGGAAGGGGTGGCTGGGAGGCTGCATTGAAACTGCATGGCCTTATCCTGCAAGTTAGGACTTGCCTATGCTGGACCCTATGCCCTAAGCTTTCCTCCCCTCCCCAGTGGGGCTGGGAGTGCCCGTGTCATGAGGGACAGCCTCTTGTCCCCCACTGCAAATGCCCTTGATGTTCCTGTGGCCTTGTGAGGTCCTCAGAAAGGCCACAAAGACACGCACATCCACTTGCTTCCTCCCCCGCAGCGGGATGGGGGGGAATCAGGAGAGTAAAGGCGATAAAATCCGTGGGTCGAGATGGAGACAGTCTGAGAGGTAAAGCAAAAGCCGTGTGTGCAAGTGGGGCAAAAGGGTCAGTTGGGCTCCGCTGTCCCAGCTGTGTCCCCTCCCAGCTCCCTGCTGACCGGAGGGACATTCCATCCCCTATCCCGTCACGGTCAGGAATAAACCTGGAGGGCGGAAGTTGACGGAGCGGGTGCTGCTGGGGGACAGGCTGGGCATCCGTTGTTTGGTGGCGAGCAATTGTTTCCCTTTGCCTCACGAGCCTTTCTCGGGGTTCGTGTCTCTCTCTCTGCTCCTTGCCCCTTCATTCCAATTCGTTATTCTTCTTTTCTTTCCTTTCCTTTGAATTGTTGAACTGTTTTGATCTCAGCCCGCGAGTTTTCTCACTCTCGCCCTTCTGATCCTTTCTGCCACCCTTGTGGGGGGGCAGCCAGCGAGCGGCTGGGGGGGGGCGGGGTGGTGGCGGGG